TCCAATTTTATTTCGCAGCCTCCAACTCCCTCCTAACACTTAAAGGAGCCGGCAGCTCGCCTTGGAGTTTTGTGGAACACAACATCACATGCAGAGGATGAGAGCCAAGATGTGATGAGCCTTGCCTTTGGCATGGAGGGTTTTTTGGGAGGCAAAACTTCAGCAAATGGGGTTAATGGGTTCATTTTGTGGGGGTAAATGACCCACAGTGATGCTAGAGGCAGGTTTTGCCCCCGGGTTGGTTTGCACGGGGGGGAAAAAACCTTCTTGACCTACTTAGGACTTGGTCCTGAAGAAGGGTGAGGATGAGGATGGCAAGGATGAAGATGATAAGCAAGAGTGGGCATGGTGGGACACAGCATCCCACCAAGCACCCGCAGAACCCCAGGGTTGATGTGCCCAGCTGAAGGCTCCAAGCAGAGGAGTGGGCTCCACTTTGGGAGCCTGGGGGTCCCTTCCCCACTCACAGAAGCATCTGAGCCCCCAACATTTGGGGTGTTCTCCAACCAGACCTGCGGTCCCAGCCACTTTCACAGCCTTTGGCGCTCCTTGCAGACCCTGCTGCTGCCCCTGGACTGTGCTGAGGTGCTGGGACTGCCAGGGTGAGCTGGGGCACCCCGGGAATCAGGAGGGGACCCCCAGGGCAGTGCGGGGGGCTGCAGCCCACAGCCCCCCCATCGCCTGCCTCGCTCGCCTCTAATCCGGGTTTGGGAGTTGCTAAGCAACTGCATAAATCGCCCGTGGGCTCCGCGCCGATGCTGCTCCAGCCAGCCCCCAAAACACAGCGTGGCCCCCCCAGGGTGGGCACCAGCACCCCCTGACCCACCTGCACACTCGGGCCCCACTGGCTCTCCCTGGCCAAGTTTGCTCTCAAGGGTCATCTGCTTGGGGGCCTGGTGGCACTGACCTTCCGCTTTGCCACCACCACCATCATCATCATCATCAGCAGCAGCAGCAGCAGCATCCCTGTTAGCATCCCTGTCCCACTGACATCACTGTTTCTGGCACTGGAACAGGCAATGTCCCCACTGCTGCCACCAGCCCTGTCCCCATCCCTGACTTCATCCCCATCACCTCCACCATCTTCTCCATCCCTACCACTGTCCCTGTCCCCATCTCTATCACCATCCCTGTCATGACTTCCATTCCACTTCTCGCCCCCATCCTCTTCATAATGCCAATCCTTGCCCCCATTCCCACCTTCAACCTCATCTCTGTCCCTCTCCCTGTCCCCATCCCCATCATCACCCTCATCCCTGGCCCTGTCCTCTGCCATATCACCATCCTTGTTCCCATCTCCATCTCCATCTCCTTCTCCAAGGCCGCTCCTGCTGGGCGCAGGTGGGGGCAACTCATGTCCCCTGACACCCTACTCCCCATCCCAGGCACATCCCACCACTTGCCACCTCCCTCAACTGCTTCACCCACACTTGGAGGTTGATGGGGGTCACCCCTGCCCCAGCATCATCCAGGCACCCAAATTCCCCCTTGGGAAATGCTCCCAAGCATCCCTCAAATTCCCCGGAGCCACTTTTCCATCATCACTTCTTCCCACCAGCACACCAGGGTGGGGGGGGTGGGGATGGGAATAGCTCTGCTCCAGAAAACCCCGCTCCAGCTTCCCAGAGAAGCCTTGGCAGCTCTGCTGGGATTTTTGATGGGAAGAGATCCTTTTCCCTGGATTTTAGACCCTCCAGATCCATCACTGCCTGCTTCAAAGAGAGAAGACGGGGTGTTTTGGGCCAGTTAAGTGGGAAGGGCTTTTGGGGTGATTCATCTGTCATGGATGTGAGAAATTAGCCCCAAAATTAGGATTAGTCCCTCAATTAGCCCCCAAAATCTGCTCCATCCGTGGCACCCAGGTCCTGGCAGAGCCGCCAAGCGCCGCCGTCTCCCGCAGGCTGTGGCTGCGGAGGAGGGACGCGAAATGCCAGAACATTTCTAATCATTAATGGCGGGTTTTGAGCCTGTTCCAGGCTCTGCATTTTTCCTCTTTGGACCCCTTCATCTGGATGATGCTTTTTCAGGTGCTCCAGCACCTCCAAAACTTAAATTCCAAGGAAACAACTCAGATTTTGGGAGGGGAGAAGGGGAAGTGCAGCTGGTGAGACCTGCTGAGAACATCCCGCCGTCGTGATTTGAGATGGTGGCACCGAGGTGCTAAAAAATCCTTTAAAAAAAGGGGAAAAAATCCCTAAAAGAAAAGGGAATTGGATGCTGGAATGATGCCCTGGGCGGGCAGTGTTGCCGGCTGCCGAAGCAGGAGCCGGCAGCCGGTGAGGCGGTGCTGGAAGGGGGGGTCAAGACGTAGCTGGTTGGCATCAGCCCCGGCACGGGGTCCCCGCCAGCTTTTTTCCCCCATCCCTCCTTCCTGTTTTTCCCGGGGGAGCCGCTGTCATGCCCCGTGCCGTGGGCGAGCACCACATATGGCGATGGAAAACAGGAAAGAGGGGGTAAAAACGGGGTGAGCATGGATGGGGGGGTTCAGGCCTCTCCAAAAATAGAGCAGCCGGCTTCGACGCAAACCCCATGTTTTGGGGGGGATTTTGAAACCACTCTGTGTGGGGAAATATAAATTTCACAGGTAGGAATAGGACTGGTGAGCCCTTGCATGCACCCCAAAATTTCATTGAGGTATCTCAGCTTATGGAAGGGGGTAGAAGAGGAGCAATGTCACATCATTCCTTCATGCTGGGATGTTATGAAGTTTCCTCCAACCCCCAGGGATGCAGGGGCCTAAATATAGAGACTAAAAATATCATCCCGTGCTCAGCTCAGCCCCAAACCCAGGATTTTTCGGGGAGAAATCTCAGGTGATCGGCGCTAATAACGGCGGGGACCTCGTTAATAAAATTCCTAATTAAAACAGCACCGCAGGGGCGGGATGGGAATTCAGCACCCACCCACGGGAAAAGGGCAGGAGCCAGGGGAGGACCAACAGGGTTTTTTTAGTTTTGGGGTTGGACGATGAGAAATGGGGGATTTGGGGCAAGTGCTGCGGTTGCATCTCCAGAGACACGTCCCAGTTCATGAGGGTTACGGGGACATGCTCCCCTTTGGCTCCTCTCCACGCATTTTGGGGCGGAATCACGGTGATCTGGAGCTGTGCATGCTGCCTGCTCCCCCTGGTGCTGCCTGCTGCCCCTCAGTGTCCTTGGCCTCCTTCAGGTCCCAGAGGAAAGAAGAAAATTTAGATGATGTGGCACAAGGGTGGCAGGGACAGCGTGGGAGCAGGGACACAGTGCAGCTCTTGGCACCTCAGATTCTCTGGAGGGGCCTGGAGTGGAGGGCAGCCTACCTGGGAAGGGGGCCAGGTGAGACAGTCGTCCTCCAGCATGGCTCCCCACGCCACCGGGTCAATGCCACCAGCTGGGGAAGGAGGAGGCTTGATGCCACATGCAATGGGCACCGGGTACCATGGGTGGTGGGCACATGGGACAGGAACAACATCCCTGGTGATGGCACAAACTGAAGGCCTAATTGCCATAGGTGGTGGACATCTGGGACAGGCACGAGGCCGTGGGCGATGGGCACAAGGGACATGTTTGGTACCCTGGGTGATGGGCACACAGGAGAGGCCTGATGCTGTACATGGTGGGCACATGGGGCAGGACAGACACCCTGGGCAAGGGACATGTGGGGCAGGACTGATGTTCTGGGCAAGGGACATGTGGGGCAGGACTGATGCTCTGGGCAAGGGACATGTGGGGCAGGACTGATGCTCTGGGCAAGGGACATGTGGGGCAGGACTGACACCCTGATGATGGGCAGATGCAGAAGGCAGGGTAGACAGTGCAGCCTGCCCGGCGAGGCAGGGGATGGCAGTGTGGGGGTGGGTGTTGGGCAAGGCCACTCACCCTCTCTCTGCTCCAGCAGCTTTTGGAAGTGCTGAGCTGCAAAGGCCACCACGTTGGTGGGCTGCTCCCGCAGCACTTCTCGTGCTAGCCCCTCCAGCAGGTTCCGGAAGCCGGCGGGCACCCTCATGGAGGTGTTGGAGGAGGCGATGGACATGGTCGCTTCTCCCGGACCCACTGCAGCGGCAGAGCCCGAGATTAACCGCAGCGCACAGTCCCCGGCGCCACCGGGCAGCGCCGGGACTCGAACCCGCGGGCACACGTCTGAGGGGGCCAGAG